TCCTTATGGTCTCTACAGATTACTTAGTCACATCAGGGTTCCCAAGAGGTTTTCTGCCAAACAAAAATGACCTGTGCAATATCAGAATTTTTTTTAAAGGGTTTTATTTATTTCCTCATTACATACATGTTTAATTTATAAAATTCTCCAACATAGCAGGAAATCCACTGACCTCTACATTTACCACATGTTATCCAGGTGTGTTTAAGTGTCAGGGGCAAAAAACACCCCCTGAAATATGTAAGTTCTAGTAATATGACCCCTTGAAATGGACACTGAAAATCAGTGTCCATGAAAATCTTCTTAAATTTCAATAAAACAAAATCAAATGTGGTTTCTTTAACTTCTCACAAACTTTGTTTGATGTTTGATGTTATCACATGATGAGGCCGTGTACAAAAAAGTGCATTTAAGCCAAATGGAGACAGCCACACACTGATGGTAGGCTAAAATAATTGAGCAGATGTTGATTTAAGAATTTTCTTTTTTTCCCGATCAGTTTTTTCTTCCAAGGTCAAGAATGAACATTTCAGTTAATATGCACTCCCCAAACCTCACTGAATTTGGGCTCCCATCTTACAGACACGTCCTCTCCCATATTTTTCAGTCCACTGCCTTTTAAAAGCGGTTCACCTGCCCTTCCTCACTCCCACACCCTTCCCTTTAGTTACACGTCTCTAACCATTGCTAAGATCACGGCAAAGATGAGGAGAAATTGTCTCTTTTGCTTGACAAAGGGCAGACAGATATGCAGCCTCAGTCTGTGACATTTTCTTTTTTCACCGCAAAATTGAGAAGAAAGGGCAGAAGCTGAGAGAAACAAAAGAAAGAGAATGATAAAGTGAAATGCTTCTTAAAAAAAAACTTAAATTGAGGCAGAAAAGAGCAGCGTGAGTCTAGAAGAATTCAGCTGCACTCTGCTTGCTCAGCACTGTGGTTATAATTCTCTGTCTTTGTATCATCAAACCCTCCACTGTGCCCTCACCCTGCTTTCAAGGTCGATACTTGTTTCTTCTTGACAGATGTCTGAGTAAAAAAACTAAACAGATATATTATGCTTTCTTCCTGTGTCTATGTGGAGCCACCCCCACAGGTAAATAAACACACAACTCTTTCTGTCAGTTGTCTGTGTGAAGAGCTGAGTCAGGTTGGAGATGACACACTGAGCTGGGTGATGTGTGACCATAGTTGCAGGGTTTACTGTGGCATTAGTAGGGTTTTCCATTTAATACCACTTATCAAGAAAAAGTCTCATTCAGCGGCTAACGTCTTTTCTCACTCCACTTGATTGTCTCGTCTTTTTACCCCCGTCTCTTTTCTTTTCCAAGAGGGTGACACCCTCCCAACCCCCGTCCAAGATAGTGATCCCCACATGCACGCTTTGTTACAAAATCAGCCTTTTCTGCCGGGGTGGACAGCTAGACAAATGATTTTGTCGGCCGTGCGAGGCAGGGGGTAATTTTTAGGTGAGCGCAGCGCTTCAGAAAAGAGTTGGCGCACAGAAATTAGAGGTTGTCAAATGCCGCACGTCTCCATTGATGGCCCAGCGCGGCCTCCTTATGTTAATGTGACATTTCAGCAAGAGGAAATAGAATTAGAAGAAGGGGGTGGGGAGGCCACTGGTGGTTGTTGGATTGCATTGTCACATATGAATACCACCTTTTGTTTTCTTTTGTTATCTTGAAGAAAGAAATAGTTCCCGGATGCAGACCTAGTGTAATAAAAAATGTAGATATAGGTGTAATGGTACATGTATTTTTCTTGAATTACCCCATAACAAGAGTGGTTACGATACAGTTACAATAAGGATAATAATACAAAGGATTCTGCTGATACAGTATCGGTACAGTATCTGTCAAATAGAAGCAACAAGCAGGAGATGTTTATTTATTCACTTCAGTTGTGTTGTTATGTTATGTTGCATTCTTCTTTACTGTGTTTTTTGTTTGATTTGTTTTATGCTTGACACTAAACCGAGTTTCTCTTCATTGACTGTTCACAGCATTTGAGTGCCTTTATTGTTGCAGTTGAATTTTTGCCAGTCGAGCACGTGTGAATGCATTTGTAAAGTTTTAAAAACTTAATGGATTTTTTTTGTGGATGATTTCTCTGCTGTAGAGAAAACATACCGAACCGTGACTCCAAATATGAAACTCATATCAAGCACAGTTACGCCCTCGTATACAGAGAAGTGATCTCTTAATTTAAGTTACAGAGCTCTTCTTTAGTTGTCATTGACTTGCTTTTACTGGTGTTGAATAACTCTTCTTTTTTTCACTCATTGTCTTGAGAAGGCTTATAGAACTTGGTTTTAGTTGCACTTTAGTGGTGATTACTTATTTTTAAGATGAAGGAACGAAATTAAACCTGCTTGTGTTCAGGTTTTTCTGATTCAAGGGTTCTTTAAAACACAATACATGTTGATTTGTCGTCTACTATGTTGCTTTTCCTGTATGTTGTTTTTTTATCCTTCTGTCGTGGTCTACTCCCTGTATAATGTGTCAAACCAAAGCTAAGACCTTGCCTGGCTGCTGTTTTGGTTAGGAGTGATGTAATCTGTTTTCTGTGCAAGATACCATGAGGATGAATTCATCTTTGGGAAGGGCTGGGAGTATCTGTGGTCCTCACAGTACTGAGGTCATGTGGTTTGGAAAGGAGTTGGGCCGAGTCTCCTGGCTGCCTGTTTGTACTCTTCCAATGTCTTCTGCAGGTGCTGTCCACACAGCTGCAGACCAGATGTTTTTTAGCTGTGTGCTGGTCAGTGTCTGTGACCTCACTGGTGACAAATTTTTAGTCTCATTGCCATGTCCGGAGATAACACTCTTTTTCAGTTTAGCAGTAAAAATGTTGTATTTAGGTGTCTTGTAGGACATAAAGTCAATATATGAGGAAATATTTTCTCCACTGTCCAAAAATTAAAACATTTTGTTGGCACTTTTAAACCACAGCACCGGTTGCTGTTCATAATACGAAATTAGATAAAAATGCAGGAAATTTCTTTTTTTCCTGCACTAAGTTTGGAAATGTGTCACAATTATGTGATCCGACAGGAACATTGACGGGTAAGCTAAGGATGACTTTATTTTTGACCACTCATTACGTTACTGTGAGTGTAGTAAAAGCTTTCCAACAAGTATTAATCTGCTTAAGATGACAGGAAGAGAAAGACTTGCCTGTGAATGTAATTGAGACATCGTCAGGGAAAACTGCTTTGCTGAGATTTGTCGGGACGTTTTTGCCCTTTCTAATGCTGCTATTTTGTCTTTTGTTATAATTGCAAATTTTAATAAGCAGCTGATGATGCAAGTTTCACCCCACCTATCCAGTTTTGCATAGGTGCAGGGTTATGCTTCGCCTGTCATGCATGCCTTACTGAGGGCATCTATAGTTGAGTGTCAGGTTCCCCTGCTGCAGTTTAATATAGAGCTCCCTACTGCCAGAAGGTCTCATGGGTGATGGAAAAAGTGCCTAGCAGCCGCCCCCACTCCACCCTGCACACACGATTCCTCGAGGCCTCGCCAGCTCTACCATTTAGTTCATGCTGTTTCATACTAGGAGTGGGTGACATAGCCACAAAATGATATCACAGTATTTCAGGAAAACTTGCAATAGTGATATTTATGAAAATATAGAAAACAAAACTACTGAACAATGTTTTATTGCTTGCAGCTTGCAGGCAGCAGCATTTAGAAGTGCAAGTACATGAAGGGTATTTGTCATTAATGACAAACTGCCTAATTCAAAGTGTGACTCTATTGGAAAAAAGGTGTCAGTGTCTTGGGTTGAGCTTTTTAACATTGCTTAAAGGCCTCCTTTACAACCATGTTACCTGCTACAGTAACATCCATTCACTGTTTGCTCTTCTTGTCATATGGAGTGCAACCACTGAGTTCTCTAGCAATGCTTGGTTGACTCATTTGTTTACTTTGGGGTCACATATCACCATCTGCTAGAATGTGCTCCTCACGTGCCTTCTTAGCCTGGTTGTACTCGATGGCGTGTTTTCCTGTGCGTGCTATGGTGGAGATGTTGAAGTAGCTTAGTTTTTAGGTGCTAAATCATCATCAGAGGTTTGCTGTCAAACATGTAAGAGCTTGTCTTGTTGTGCACGCTGGGGGAAGGTAAACACTGTCTTACTATGTCAGTGATATTGTTATATGACAATTAATTTTTTAACATTTTGTCACATTAACTTGTATACCAGTGTTATCGCAGATCATACGATTATGGCACAAAAATCAAAGTGTGTCGTCTTTGCACTTTTGGATTCACTATGACCGTACTCTGAGGCTAACCTGGAAAGCAGAAATATGCCCTGCAGCAGCTGACACTTGTTTCACTGTCACATACCAGAACTTGCAGACACACTGGTTTGATTGTATGCATCAGGCTACACATGGAGTAAAAATGGGGTGTGCTTGAACATGTGTATGACTGAGTCGGCAGCATGTGCGTGTGGAAGAGAGAGAGGTCCATTAGTTTTATCTGACAGGGGGATCAGATCTAAAGGCGGCATATACTTAAGCCTTAGTGATTCCCCTGTATCTGGTCTCCTGCTCAGGCTCTTGCACAGGCTGCTCTGTTAGAGAACAACCTCTGAGGGGAAAGAACAGAAAGTCGGTGGCCTTAACCTGTAAATAGTGCAGTGTTTAACTTTTGTCTCCAGCTCATAGACTAACTTGCACACAATCACAGATTTGTTGTTTCTACTCAGAGCAGTTTGTAGTAGGAAAAAAATGCCATTTTCTGTAGAAAGCAGGAAGCATTAATGCTCACACATTTTTATACTCAAAGGCTATGTTAATATTACCCAAGTTACACAGTTGTTTATCTGTAAAAGACAAACATTACGCAAGGCAAAGATTTGTATGCTACATTAGGCTTTTCCCCATAAGTCAAAATCAATATGACAGTAATATATCTCGCACCGTTCTTTTTACGTGTCACTGCTCTGTTTTTATGCAGTTGCTTACCACACTTTACATATTTTTGTCTTTCAGAGATCAACAGAGTGCGTAAAGACATGTACAGCGACACAGTGAATGGCCTTGTGGACAAACACCCACTGGAGCTGCCCGAACCAGTCGGACCCATCGTTCACCTGCAGGAAAAACTGTTTGTGCCTGTCAAAGAGTACCCAGATGTGAGTATCAGGGTTACACGTCTCTCACTTTTACTGTTGCATCACATTGCCAATAATATCAGAGCATTTGCCTGAATGGTTGCTGGATTAATATTTAGACTGGAGCCAGAGGAAAGTGTATTAAAGAAGAAATCTTAATCTTATCGAGAAACTAGATTTTATTTTTCATATAAGTTCATGTTAACAGATAAAGACATTCTTTCACACACTGGTCCTTGTGCAGAAATACCTCTACACACACTGTTGGTCCTCTTCCCTTAGGCCATGTGTCTTTGTGATGTGTCATCATGGGAACGACAGCTGCTGATAGTTCTGCAGTCTGTCAGCACTGAGGACATATCTCATGACTGTTGTAAGCACTTGCTCACTGCTCATGCACTCTGCTCTCAGTTCTGTTCTTTTGCCTTTCAGTTTTTTGCTCTTTTTTTAAAAAATATTTTAGTTGATAAACATGCAGTCCTCGACTTGTTCTTTTTACTTTATTAGCTGCCCGATTTACACTGTGTGCACCAAGTTGTTAATGTACTACTGATACAACTTTATCAGACTGCACACTAATTTGGTCCCGGTCTGTGGAAAACGCAGCATGCTGGGGTGTTTATGAGCCAACTCAGCAGCAGATTAGTGCTGAGAGAGAAAGCGGGGGATTGAAAAAAGAAGCATCAAGAAAAGTAAACTGCAATTTCATAAATATTCAGTAAAAGGGAATGAAAATCTTTTGGAGTAACCACTTGGTTTTTACTCTGATGGAGAGATGGATACACACAGTTGGGGCAGGGGGGGAAGCAGCACACGGTGGAGGTACCATGGTGTTTCTAGAGATGAGGAGGATGGTGGCAGCACAGAGCAGAGTGATATGTGTGTCTGTGTGTAAAGCTTTGGGACGTGTGTGTAAGGCGTTTACCACAGTCGGCCACATTTATGTGCTCATGGTAATCTTTGGCGCACACATGAATGATTGTGTCACGTCCTGAGAAGCAGCGTTTCTCTTCATAATCCCAGCAGCTGGCAGCAAGGAAATGAATGGAGGGAGGTGACGAGGATAAGACACACCGTAGAGCAGGCCAAGGCTCAGTCGGGCATGGATTGCATTTTCCCCCTGACAGAATTGATAAAAGGCACCAGGGACTGGCTAGGATCAGCTTAGCTTCATCTCACCCTGAGACCAGGCCCAGTGTCTGCGCTCAGGCTCTTAAGTGACTTCCAGCCAGTTTAAGTGACCCTTAAGTGTTTGCCTTGTTTTGCATTCATGTAATTGTGACATGTGTGGTCATAGCTGATGTGCAGTTGCCTTTTAGAGCATGGTGGTCGTCTTAGTGAGATCATCAACTGTGACATGCTGTTTAGAGATGATGCCTGCTTTCAGTTACTGTTTCTGTGTTCTTTGTGTGTGGGTTTTGTGCTGCACAGGAATACAAGCGAAGAAGTTCAATAAAAATGTGTGAAGGAGTGGGTGCCACCTGTGACTGTAGAGATGCTAATGAAATAACACACACACAATCTATTAAAAGTGCAGCATCCTCAGATGACCCTTTGTGTACCCTTCACTCGCTTTGCTACACCGCTTTGAGCAGAGCAGGGCTGTAACTCTTGTATTCTGTTTATAAGCTGTTTGGAAAGCTACTAAATTAATTAGGCTTCCCCCTGGTGGTCAAGATGACTCACTGATGACCTTAGCAGACACAAATTAGCACACCCACTGACATGCACATAAAGAAGTGCGAGCACAGACGAACACTGAAACTCAGTGACACAAAAATATGACATTTTTCAAATGATTTTTTTTCTGCTGTCATTTGGTGAACACATTCAAGCATGGCCATTCAGCCTGTCAGCAGGGAAAGAGGACAATGGCAGACTTACTGTTAAATTTAGATGTGATGACTGCAGTTGGGAGAAATCAGCAGCAAGTCCAGATTAAATGCTTATTATTTTATTTATTTATTTATTTATTTTAGCTCTCCTGTTTGGAACACGGTTCATGTGCAAAACTTCCTCTACATGATTGCCAAATCATATTTGTGTAGGTGCCAACAGTAATCTTGTGCCAGATATGTAATTTTTTTTAAGGCTACCAGTTGAAGTTGAAGAGTAGTCATCCCTTTGATTGCGCTGCTGTTCTCGCTGCTGTTTAGGATTTTTAAGTTAGTGGACAGAGAGGAAATGAAATCTAGCATTGACTATTTGAGCAGCAGACAATAGGAGATAAAGTGTTGCTGCGCGTTAAACTGATTTCCCAATAAAACAGTTAAAATGGTTGTCTTAACACGGAGAGACAGCGGTTCTACAGTTTGTGCTTTTAGAGATGATAAAAAGAAGAACACTTTAGTCTTTTAAGAAAAAGGGGGAGGAAGCACGAGAGGATAGAAAAGAAGCAAAGGGAAAATGTCCCTTTTATCCCCATCTGCCCACTTCTAACGGATAGGAAAGTGTAATGAAAGATTATTAGACTGGGGAATTTCACCATCCTTTTTACATTTCTGTCTGATTTCCCAGAGTCCTCCCACTGAAAATCCATGTATGTGTGGCTTGCTGATACAAGTCTAGGCTCTCCCAAGAAAACGGAGAATGATGTTCCAAGTCTCCTGTTTTGTGTTGTTGGCATCTACTCACCTGCCGTGGAACATTTGTCATCATTCATACCGTTTCCCCATCTGTGGAACTCTTGGCATCTACTTTTTCTCCTCTCAGTTTTCACTTCCATTTAAAAACTCCCTTTATTCATACTATATCCTTAGGCTGAGGTTACACGCTCTCTTTGGGGCTTTCTCTGTCAGATCACCTATGTTTACCCCGCTCAGGTTTCACCAGTAGATAATTAGATTGTCCTGGTGCCTGGATGCAGTGCGGCATGTCAATTCTACCAAAATAACTTGCCTTGCCAGCACACTCCTACTCTAATTCCCTTAAGTGTGTCCCTCTTCTGGCCTGTGTGCCCCACATCTGTCTGTAAATGTGTTTGTGTATGCGTGCGCCTCCATCACTCAGTCTGCCTGCGCGTCTGTCTCCCCCACCCCCTCGCCATTCTTCAAAGTCAGCCATTTCCCGATGTCGTCAGCGGTGCAGAACACTGCGAAGCGTCACTGTGGTGACTGCATCTTGACTGACAGCTGAGTCGCAGGCTATCTGATAACTTCAACCTTCAATTAAATGCTATCTGTGGCTCCGCTTCTCTTCCAAGCACACGCTCGCATACACATTGATAGGCAGCTGACTGACAGCTCAGCATGTCATTTCCGTTGACCTTGAGGCGTCTGATAGGATGTGTGACATATCTTTTTAAGATGGTGTCTGTCTCCACTTTATTCCCAGTGTATTTGTATGTGCCAACTCTTAAATGCCCAGGTGGGTTGTGGGCAGGTCACCTGGTGTTGAGAAATGCTTAGGACTGAAAACACACGCGAGAGGTGGGGGGAGACACCTCTGCGGTGCTGACTCTGTGAAATGAGACCCTCAGTTGGATGTAAGCTGTTGAGCAAGTGGTAAACAGGACCGTCTGAACTTGTCACAAGCCCGGGGGCATCCACAAGACGAAAATGATCACTTGTACAGCCAAAATTGTTTATTTTTTAAAAAAAGGGGAAAAAACTAGCAAGGGACACCCTAGCTAAGTCTCTGCTGTTGGTCTTTTCTGTTTGTCTAGTGTTCTGGGTGTTGTCATGGCACTTAAGGTTGTTTACCTCAGTAATGAAATCCTTTTAAGCCCCTGTCCCATTTCCGCTCTCTCACCACACCAGCTGTCTCCAAACCAAAGAACCTCACAGGAGCAGATGTTTGAAGTCCATGCGAGTTTCTATTTTTTCTTATTTTTTAAAGTTTCTAAAAGCAAATTAGTCGATCCGTAAACTGCAAATAACTTGTCTCCTTAATAGAAGCAAATATTTTCTCTCCTTATATTTGGAGAAAGCACCGGGGGGATCACCAGCCTTTCATTGTTCCAAAGAATTTAAGCTTCAAATGAGGTTTTTAACTGTAAAACTTTTTGCAAATAAGAAAAAAAAAAGACACTACAAAGATACTATATTTTCTATACATTAATGAGTTGGTTAAAAAAAAAAAAGGGAGAGAGGGAGAAAAAGTCCATTAACTATTTGAGTTCTGAGTGTGTTTGTGTGTGTGTTCGTGTGTTCTGTTGGATCATGGTGCTTCACTGCAAGGCACCTAGATTTGCGAACAGCAAAGAAAGAGGCTAGGGTGGTTTGAGCAGACAGAATGTCCTGGCCCTCTCTCTTTCACTGCGGAAAAATTGCCCGGCCAAACCAGCCAGGTCCCTGCACAGGGAAAGTCATTAAGCTTGCTCCCATGAGGGTGTCATCACTTATCATGCCAGCTCCTGATATCCTTCTGACCCCCTTAAGTCATTACGAGTCCTGGAAATGTACCGCCCCGCACCTCACCTCGACACACTGGTAGAGCGGCAGAGAGGAGGATTTTGATAACTATAGCTAGCCAGCCATGCATGATGCTGATAATTTGATGAACGGATGGTTTTCCAGTTAGCCGTTTGATAAGGAGGTAATTACAATAATAATTTAAGCAGCGAGAACTCTATTTGTTGTTGTCAGTTAAAACGACGAAGAGCAAAAGTATAAGCTATTAGACGTGCTTCCGTTACCGCACTAATGCCAGCTTGTGTAGCAGCAGCTTGTGCTTGCACACTTTGGGTGGATGGTGCCACGTGCTGCTTTGGCCCATCCGTCTGTGAATCATTAAGCTGACAGATATGGAGGGTGAAAAGTGAGAATCAAGGACAAAATGAAGCAGGTCGCCCACACCGGAATCAAAGACTGCACTGGGGATGTCGTGTCAGCTTGTATCAATAGTGCTACACTATCTGCATACATATACTAGATCACACTGATACAGGATTTTTGAGCAAATACTAATATCTATGCCTTTGACTTAAAAAAACAAAAAAACAGAGACAGCTGGCAAGACCTGTCCTGTTTGGACTCTGGCTCAGGTAATAGAGCGTTTCGTCTAACAATCGTAAGGTCAGT